GTACTCATTGCTGTGAAGAGTCCATTTATGAATTATTCCTCTGTGAGGAAGGAGGCTTGGAGGAGACAAAGCTGGATAATGCCAGGCTGTGTCTCTGGAGGTCCTACGGCTTAACCACTTCATCTTCCTCCTGTGCTGGGTTAGAGCTCCCTTTGTAGAGCTGCCTCCAGGGCTCCAGTCCCACCCCTACCAGCCCTGTGTTCCTGATCCCAGAGCCTACACTGCTCTGCAGACCTGGCGAGTCATCAAGGTTCTGGGCTTTTGTGAGTGAGCTGTGAGCATGGCTATGCAACTAGCCCCACAGAGGTGGAGGCTTCAGGCGCAGTTCGCCTCACTTTGGGATGTCATTAAACTTGCATTTCTTCCAAATACCCTCTCTGCTGTAATTTATTTCCTGCCTTTCCACCCTACAGGAGTTTTGAGTTACAGGGCCTCAGATTTCATAGAAGATGGGAACCCAGAAGAGGTGCGTGGTGGCTGAGCACTTCCTGTGTGTCCACCTGGAGGCAGTGGCCACAGAGGAGCCTGGCCCTGTCCAAAAGATGAATGTGGCAACACTGCCAGCCGTAGGGACCGGATGGTGCAGGGTAGTGCTGCCCAGGTTCTCTGAGGCGACTCTTGAGACCCTCCTCATTAATGTGAAAATAGTCGGATAGTAGATTTTTCTATTGTCACAAATGTGAAATGTCAGATAATGAGATAGTTGATAAGGGAGGAGTAGGGATGTCTGTGTATGTGTACACATCTCTAATCTGTTGCTGTCTTGTCTATTCCGACTCTTGGCAGTGCCTCTGTGTGGGTTTGAACCACCTGCCTTTTGGTCACATGGGGTCACTAAGCTGGAATCTATTGAACAGCACTGAACAAGAACAATTATATACATACACACACACTCACACTCACACATATATATGGCAGTACAAACTTTTGTGCCATCAAGGTATCATATATGTGTATAAAACCAGCTCTAATGTTGTGTTTACACAATTTTTACAGTACAATATTTTTATAAATGTGAGTCAGATATTTAACATTTGAAACATTTCACTTAAATACAATTTTTAGTTAGAGAACACCATATGTTAGAAACACAATAAAAATAATGGTAGCATATCTGCTAGATTATTTAATCTATGAAATGAGACAATGCAGGGGAAAAAATGTTTAATCTGTACAGTAATGGTAAAATAGTAACAAATTTGTATCCAACAGCAGGCTGCCTATTTTTAACAGAAGGCATATAATAGAGAAACTATGTGAAAGTAATGAAGACAATCAGACCTTCAGCCAGATTCCAAATCTTTCTGTGCTCAAAAGAACTCCTATGGAAGCAGATCCTTCTGAATGCCTTAAGTGTGGACAATCCTTGATGAATCATTCATCACTTAAGCATCACATCAAATCTCACTCTGGATGCAGTGCCTATCAGTGTAAGGAATGTGGAGAAGCCTGCAGTTGTCCCTCTTACCTCAGCACTGATGTGAGAACTCTTACTGGAGAGAAATCCTACGAATGTAAGGAATGCGGCAAAGGCTTTCGTCGTTCCTCAAAGCTTACTATACATATGGGAATTCACAGTGGAGAAAAGCTTTATGTATGTAAGGAATGTGGGAAAGCCTTTAGTTGTTCCTCAGATCTCACTGCACATATGAGAACTCACAGTGGTGAGAGGCCATATGAATGTAAGGAATGTGGCAAATCATTTTGTCACTCCTCAGACCTCGGTATACATACAAGAACTCACAGTGGTGAGAGGCCTTATGAATGTAAGGAATGTGGCAAAGCCTTTAGTCGGTCCTCATACCTGACTTCACATAGAAGAACACATACTGGTGAGAGACCTTATGAATGTAAGGAATGTGGCAAAGCCTTTAGTTGGTCCTCAGCCCTCACTGCACATATGAGAACTCACAGTGGTGAGAGGCCATATGAATGTAAGGAATGTGGCAAATCATTTTGTCACTCCTTAGACCTCGGTATACATACAAGAACTCACAGTGGTGAGAGGCCTTATGAATGTAAGGAATGTGGCAAAGCGTTTAGTCAGTCTTCACACCTCACTTCACATTTAAGAACTCACAGTGGTGAGAGGCCTTACGAATGTAAGGAATGTGGCAAAGCATTTAGTCAGTCTTCACACCTCACTTCACATTTAAGAACTCACAGTGGTGAGAGGCCTTATGAATGTAAGAAATGTGGCAAAGCCTTTAATCGCTTCTCCTACCTCACTCAACATGTAAAAGCTCACAGTGGAGAGAGGCCTTATGAATGTAAGGAATGTGGCAAAACCTTTATTCAGTCCTCACACCTCACTGCACATAAGAGAAGTCACTGTGGAGAGAGACCTTATGAATGTATGGAATGTGGCAGAGCCTTTTTTCACTTCTCAGGCTTCACTATACATATGAGAACTCACAGTGGTGAGAGGCCTTATGAGTGTAACTAATGTGGCAAAGCCTTTTATCACTCCTCAGGCCTCACTGTACATATGAGAACTCACAATGGTGAGAGGCCTTATGAATGTAAGAAATGCAGCAAAGCCTTTCGTCAGTCCTCACACCTCACTAGACATGTAAGAGTTCACAGTGGAGAAAGGCCTTCAGTAAGGAATGTGGGAAAGCCTTTAGTCAGTCTTCAGTGCTTACTGAACATAAATAACCTCACAGTAGGAGAGACTTTATGAATGCAAGGAATGTGGGAAAGTAGTTATTCCTCATCCCTCACTGAATACATAAGAAATCAC